GGTTTTTTGTGGTCGTGTATGGAAAAAACTTCAGAATAAGTAATGCCCCAGCAAAGCCTTTGCATAAGGCTTCACATTTCTCAGTGCAGAAATTATATTAATAGGACTTTCACTTAGGAATTAATCTCTGTCCATGTTCCCAGTGTTACCATGTCTAAGCCACCTTTGAAGTGGTTTGATATTGAAAAGTGAATATCATCAACCCCTTCCAGCGACAGTAGACCTGGGGTCACCAAAGATGACTGGACCCCTCACCAGAATCTCAGGATCTGCCCCCCGATTCAGGAAAAATCAGTTACATATACATTAACTTATTGTTTCTGAGGCTATGCAGAGGGTTTTAGCTATGGTGATTCTCCCCTCTTCTCACACTTTAAACTTCTTTTTAAGTTGGCTACCTTTTTTCAGCTGAATGCTGAATTAGGGGAAACTGACATCTCTGCCTGACAGTCAACCATCCGTCAGTACCCAGCCCCCTGGGCTGAGCTGGCGAAAGAGAACATCATCTTGACAGTACCAGCTGTTGATGTACTCCACATGGGCAACCCAGAGAATTTGCTTTCCATCTGGAACAAGATGATGAATGCTATAGCCGAACTGGCAGCCATCCCAGCAACTTTTCCAAGGCCAGAGAGGATGGTGGCAGATGTCACAGAATCACAGAATGCTAGAGATTGGAAGGGACCTCGAAAGATCATCTAGTCCAATCCCCCTGCCGGAGCAGGAACACCTAGATCAGATCGCACGGGAACGCATCCAGGCGGGCTTTGAATGTCTCCAGAGAAGGAGACTCCACAACCTCTCTGGGCAGCCTGTGATATCTGTGTCCAGATATCTTGTGGCAGGTATCATAACTAGAACATTTTGTCTTTATCTGTGATGGATATTTGTAAGGGAGATACACCAGGCAGTAGGATTATCACAAGATCGTGCAGATCCTCAAACCAGCAGATTAATCCCACCAAACTCAAGGAGACTGCTCATGAGAGTAAGCATCTTCTGTGACTGTCAAGAGCTGGTACACAAAAGTAACACATTCTGCTGCTAAGTCTGAGGCTATCCCAGGGTAAAACACAGTGGAGGGAGACAGGCTGCCCACGAAATGATGCATAGGCTGTGTCATGTTACTCTTAGTACTGTGTGAGTGAGCTTATGCTAATTGCAACTGGAAGAAGGGAGACAAAGCTAGCAGTTCTAGGCAGGACGAACGAGACCTTGAAACTTAAATTAAGGCATGTAACAGACACAGGCAGCCTACTACGACCCTAATGTTAGCAGGCATAGGATCACTTACATCAGTGGGCAAGTGAGGGTAGTGGTAGGGGCAATAGTTTGTTGTAAGCAGCATTTTGCTGTCTGTCGTTTAAGAAATCTGCTGCTTAAAGACAACTCAGTAGGCCAGTGGAACTGAACAGTCTGGAGCAGGCGTGTGTCCTAAAGGCGGATTTGCCAAATCCCACCAATATTTGCAATTAATCTTTGTTCAAGTATTGCACTTTTCTCAATAGGATGGGCAGGTGCTTTCACCTCTGCTTGACTGCAACACTAAAGGTGTTTTCTACCACTTGAATTGAGAAGTTCATCAGCTGACCAGGTCATAACTCTGTCAATAATCCATAGCTCTAGCAGCTTAACTCACGTGGGGTAGCTGTTGTCAGTCAAGTAGGACTAATTCAAGAGAGGCTGGCTTGAGTGGAAACAACATGCACTTCAGTTATTAATGACCAGCTAATTATAATCACTAGTGAAATATAACCAAAATAAATAGGTGCTATGTTTCCATGCTGCATGTGCTCCTCCAAGCATATCCTTACTTAAGAAGGATTTTATCAGAGTAATCAATCATTACAGCTGGTCACATGCATCTCTGAATTTAACAATGAATCATAGAATCATTAAGGTTGGAAAAGACTTCAAGGATCATCAAGTCCAACCCACCACCACCTAACTCACTAAACCCTGTCCCTAAGCACCACATCTACATGTTTCTTGAACACCTCCAGGGATGGTGACTCCACCACTTCCCTGGGCAGCCTGTTCCAATGCCTGATCACTCTTTCAGTGAAGACGTTTTTTCTAGTATCCAGCCTAAACCTCCCCTGGTGCAACTTGAGGCCATTTCCTCTTGTCCTGTCACTTGTTACTTTAGAGAAGAGGCCAGCACCCACCTCACTGCACCCTCCTTTCAGGCAGTTGAGAGAGTGATAAGGTCTCCTCTCAGCCTCCTCTTCTCCAGACTAAACAACCCCAGTTCCCTCAGCTGCTCCTCGTCAGCCCTGTGCTCCAGACCCTTCACCAGCTTCGTTGCCCTTCTCTGGGCTTGCTCCAGCACCTCAATGTCCTTCTTGTGGTGAGGGGAAGCTGTAATCTGTCAGTGATTCTGCAACAATTGTGTTTAGATTATGTGTCAGTTGCTAATTTTTGTAACTTCTAACCCCTCAAGCTCAATGGGGAACATTATTATATTTTTTATATTTTTTTATTATATATTTTTGTTCTTACCATTAGTGACAGGCATATTTGAAAATTCAGACTTGGGACACAGAGGTAGCATAATTGTCATGAATAGTTTTGTACAGGTATGAAGGGTGAGCAAGCAGTTCATCTGGCAGTGCATGTCAGAGAGCAGAGTCCATCCCTTTCCTTGCTTTGTTTTGGCTGTATGGACTCATTAAGCCTGTTAAGGAAACCATGGTATGTGTATGACCCAGGCCAATCAGTGGGTTTTGTGCTGACACAAGGCCGTTCTGCAGTAATTTTTACTAATGCATAGGTAAATTTTCCAAATGCCAGAGTTTATAATCGTTGGATGTGTACAGATGCAGATGAACTTTAAGCTGCTAGCTCTCCCTTCTCTTGAGCTGTAGAGAAACAGGAGTGTTCAAAACCAGCATGACCCTGAACACATGCAGAATTGATTCACAGCTGCTGTGAATCAGACCTTTCAAATGAGTTTGTACAAACTGAGAATGTGCACCAAGAAACACGTGGGTTTTAGGTAGCTGCCATTCTCTGAGTGAAGCTGCATTCAGAACCAAAGACTTCTGGATTATTGATTTATTTGGCTCCTTCTCTTAACATATTCCAGCCCTCTGCACAGATACTCACCATGTCATAGACAGCTATGTCCACCAGAGGCTACACTGGTAGAACCCAACGTATAAAACTCTTCTGGCTTCTGTCACACCTGCTGAAATAAGTGGAGAGTAGCACCATTTCAGAGATGTGAATGGCTCTGTATCCTCCCTGTACTATTCTGGAGCTGTAAGAAACAGCCTGATGGAACCTGTTGAGAAAAACAACAGATTGAGCCTGTTGAATTGGCACTGAAAGAAAAAGAACTAAAGATAGTAAATTCCGATGAAAAGCTACTGAAAAGTGATTTTTAAAGCTGATCATGGTAGTCAGCAATACTGAGAAACTCATGAGAGATATTAAGGAGTGTGTTAAATCTGTCTTTTCTGAAAAAAATGCTTTTACAAAGAGCATGAGAAAAAGCAAAACTGGAACTGAAGTGATGACAATTATAGTGAAGTAATAACTGTGGTATCAGCTACAAGTTCTATCCAAAGCTGAAGTGAACTATGGAATATTTTTCAGTAGTAAAGAGCTGTTTTACTAAAAACACTGACAAGAATCTGCCTTCACACACACACACCAAAAAAAAAAAAAATCCCAGTTCGTGTTTTGCTTTCTGTTAGAAAAGAGGTACAACAGACATTGTCAGGGCACAGTGAAAGCAAGCTGCTCCCTGAGGGACAGGGAGCCAGAAGCCAGCTGCAGTCATACAGCCAGCAGGACAGGTGCTTCACCAGCTGGGGACCATGCCTCAACAACCCAGTGAGGCAAGCAGGGCAGACCTGGCACAACAACCAGGGCCATCTGAGAGTGTAGATTGCTCGACAAGTCTTCAGGGATGAGGTAGTAGGTCTGAGGTCAAGAAAGGAAATCAATCCACAGGTAAAGATCAGGTCCAGTGACGGTAACCAGGGTCAGACACTGTCCAGTGGTTACCAGCAGGCCCATCATGATGAGGCATGTCTGAACTCAAGCAACAAAGTCAGACCATGGATCAGGGTCTGGATCCACAGGGTCCATGGCCAGACACAGGCATGGCTGTGACAGAGCTGGAGACAGGCATACCTACAACATAGGTCAGGCAGGGACAGACAGCCCAGGGCTGAGCTGAAGTGCAGCCCCTGGGGCCACCAACAGGACATGTAGGTGAAATCCCCATGTGGAATTGCTCAAGGCCATTAAAACCTTCTGGTGCACTCAGGGACCTGACACAAAATTTTGCAATGAAACATTTTTGTCTCATGCCTTCAAGATGAAAATCTGCTTCTTCTTTGGGAGCACTTTAGGAAAAACAATCAATTTTTCTACTTTATTTGTGTCTGCTATTTATCATGAGGTTTTTTCCCCCATGTATTTCCTCCAGAGACAGAATGTACAGTTTCTAGGGAGAGCTGGGGAGGGTGCTGGGGCCATTTTCATCAACACAAACCATACAGTTATTTGGCTATACAAGGATATAAACTGTCCTGGCAATAACACCTTCCTCGCCAGATATGAAAATAAGAAAACACCAGTGTCAACAGAAAATTCTTCTACAGACAGGATTAGATTTCCAAACCTCCTCTCCACTCCTGTAGCTGTGAGTACAGTCATCTGCAATGTCTGCAGCTCTGGCAAAAATAATTTGGACTTTTTTGCTCTTTGTGTTGACTAATGCTGAGAGTGGAAATGGAGCAGAATAGCATATAATATGCACATTAAACTTTTGCTTGTTGTTGATACATTTGATGCTCCAGCACAGGGGGAGGAAGCACATCACGGGCAGCATCCACTCATGACAAGCAACTGAAAGAATGAGTTAATGTAAAGAGAATTAATTGTATTTTTCTCACTGTGGTGTTCCATCCCATGAGCTTTCCTAGACAGGCTGCCAAGATTGTTGTTTACTTTCCCTGCAGGTTGGATGCCTGTCAGTGCCAGAGATGGTAGATGTGCAGTCCCTCCAAGCCAAGGGCCTTTGGGGTGCCATTCATGAGCTGGGCCACAATCAGCAGCAATCTGAATGGGAGTTTCCCCCTAACTCCACCGAAGCCACCTGCAATCTTTGGTCTGTTTATGAGAATGAGACTGTGTTGGGCATCCCAAGAGATAAGGCCCACAATGAACTTGCACCAGAATTTAGAAAGAAGAGGATTCAAGATTACGTTGAAAACGGAGCACAGCTGAAGGACTGGGAAGTATTTACTGCCCTGGAGACATACCTGCAGGTAATCTGCAGGCAAATTAAGCTTGCAACAGATTTATAAACTGATCATTTTAATTCAGGGCTGCTTCTTTCCTCTTTCCTTTTCCTCACTTTTTGCAACCACTTGATCTCTGCCTTGGATTATTTCTGTCTGTTGACTGTTAGTCTCCAGCAGTGTCTTTGTCTGTCCCCTCATAGGATTTCACAAACCAACATGAGTCAGTCATGATCTGTCTCTGAGTAGCACACTTCCCAGGGCTGCAGGGGAAAGTTTTTGAAGCAGACCTTAAGAATGTACTTGTTTTGAGTCATTTGTGATCTCAGTACAGTGTAAAGGTCATTGGTCTGTAGAATGTACCGGTTTGGGATATAATGGTAAACCACAGCCTTTGGGCATTATCAAGGATAATTGTTTCTTTTTTTAAATATGTTTTGTTTTGTTTTGTTTTGTTTTGTTTTGTTTTGTTTTGCCAGTCCTTCAGTTTTATTGGTGCAATACTTAATTCAGTAGCACCCAGGATTAGTTGACAGTACAAACACCAAGTGCAGAGTCACCGAGCAGGAAGCCTGTATTTTGTGCTGAGAGAAGAGAGTCTTATGTGTTATAAGTATGCAGAGATATTATATGTATACATACTTACGAGCATGCAGGGGTGGGTTGATATTTCTATAATTCTTTTTTCGAATAATTGTAACAACTGTAAAAAAACCCATGGCAGTCAAGCCTGTAAGTACAGCAAGGCCCTTCAGGATGAAAAGCACTTCTATAAATACTTGATATTTGGTTTTGTGTGAATACTAGAAATATAGGCTTGTTGAATAATCTGATGGTGTTAAAGGCTACTCTGATTCTTCAGCAGGCATTTAGAATTTGTCAGGTAGCTAAACTTACAAAAAAGAAAGAAAAATACCCTTTAAAAAGATCAATAACTAAATTTAGTAAAAGATTTTGTAAATAATGCAAGTAATTCTAAACTTCCACACATATGTTTTGTACTGTTTCTCTTTTCTTCTGATCCACAGCTGCAAGAGGCCTTTGGATGGGAAGCCTTCATGGAAATCCTTTCTGAATACCACAATATGTCTGAACTCCCAGATGATAATAACTCAAAAATGAATCTGTGGGCAGAAACCTTTTCTCGTCTGGTGAAAAAGAATTTGGCTCCTGGGGATGGCCAATCAAGGAGAGCCTTTCTCAGCAGCTGGCTGTTTCTTTCCCCAGTTGGTCAGATGATCTAATGAAGCAATATATCTCCTATGCAGGTTTTTGCTCATGAAAATGAAAATGTGATTGTCTGTGATAGAGCCAGTGCTCTGCAATAGTTTTAAATGGTGTCTGAATGGTATGGTATTCTAATGAATCTGAGAAGCAGCTCTACTTTGTGTGTGTGGTAGAAGAGTTCATTCTTGCATCCCTCCCAAGACTGCCATTGTGTGTTAGGGTCCCATTACTACCTTTCCCAACAGAAGTCATTTTAACCACAGAAGGGGAAATGTTTGCTGTCTTAATAACTGTGAAACAAAACAACCATTCCCATTTTTTGATTCCTCTGTTTCCTTGTCTCTAAAAGATTCTCTGTTCCAGACTTACTCTGGCTATGCAGAGTATGTTATAGATATGCAAAGTTTGTTAAGATCATTAGAAGAAGAGTAGGAACAGGGGGAAAAAAGTCACTTTAAAAATAGAGACACATTAGAAGATAATAAAGCTAGAAATAAATGGAAGAACTAAGGTGAAATTATGGCTACAGCAATGAGAAATTAGAACAATCTTTCAAAAGAAGACCCTGATGGACAGCATGGGAAAGATGCTGATCTTCTGTTAACATTTTGAAAGGGTTGCCTTCATGCTCTGCTTTCAGAGTTGGTAGCTGTGTCAGAAGCAAAACAGTGTCCAGACAGTGAAGTTACGACCTTGGTTCTCAGCCAGAATAAACCTGCAGACATCTAGTGAGTGTAAAATTGTGGCAACTCGCTCTGTGTGAAGATCTAAGACGGCAGGTGCCTCACCTCACAAGACTGAACGTATTGACAGGAAAGCAGCACTGGGGTCAGTTTACAATGGTCCATTTTCATCTCCAATCTAAATAATCAGATCAATGGCCCTTTCTTATATGATGCCCTGGAATTTCCTATATGTTAAAACTTTTTTATGGTGCGTTTTGAGATCCTGAGCCAAGTAGTTGCTTGTCTTGTGCATGTAGTTTCTTTTTCTAGTGAATGTTACAGAATTCTTGGTCTTACTGTTAAGGCCACTGGCACGCACCGCAACGGACAGCAGCAACAGGGTCAGAGGCTCTCTGCAATTCCTCCGGATCTCATGGGCCATAGCTGAGCAGATTCTTCAGCAAAAGAACCAGGAAGTAAAGGATACAAGAATCAATCATTTCTTTTCACTGTGCCCAGATAAACATATGTCAAACCTATGGATAATCCAAAGTCAATGAAGTGACCTGCACTAATAATACGACAAATTATTTACATGGACATCCAACAGCACATGTTATTGAGAAAGATCCCCCAAATCCTTCAACCATCCTGAACTTGAAAAACTTTATTCTATACTTTGAAGCCAAAAGTTCAAATGCTACTATTTTTTCTTCTGGCAAAGTCCTACAACTCCAGTTCTGTTTTGAAGTTTGGGGGATTCTAAGCTGAGAGCGAGCTGAAGACGTTGTGATCTGATTGTCAGCTAACAGTGTGTTATTATCTCTTCAGCCCCAAGGTTTGAAAACTTTCCGCAAAGCTAGTTTTAATATCTCAGAAAATTGAACTTGCTTCCCTTTCTACAGTAGAGGATATTCTTCCAAATTGGGTACTTTTGACATTGATATTTAATGTTTCTGTAGAACCTCTTTTTGTCCCTGGTGTTTTGTGGTATCTTTGATTAAAGCTTTTTGATTGTTCCTATCTGTTTGTACACAATATGATAACATACTGTTAACATATCTAGGATTCAGCAGTTATATCCAAGGTATTAGAAATGTTTCCTTCATAATGTACCAGCAGAGCATGAAGAATTGTGCTAGTGACTATTTTCATTTAGCATTTTCATCATGATCTCATGCTAATAAATCTTGCTGATACCACAAATATATGGGCATTGTTGGTACAGGGTGTGTCAATATTATCTGAAAACAATCAGATGTCACTGAAGACTATAGTATGGGAAATTGAGTGAAACTTTAAAGTGCAAAACTATTTTGAACTCATCATCGAGAGTTTCTCTTCTAAGGTAAGAGCTTATCAGTGGATGATGGCAGAGGGGAAAAAATCTGGGCATGTTAGTGCGTTGCTGAATAGCTTAAGATATACTGAAACTGAAATAAATGCAGAAGCTAATGGGGAGGGGGAGAGAGGAATTGGCCATAAGATTGATTTTGTTAAACATAGTTTGTTTAAGCCTTGAAAAAGTAATGTCTGGGAGAGTTTCTGTGACTATTCTCTATGAATACACCCTCTATGGAGGGCTAAACTTCAGAAATGACTGAGAAACCTACCTCAGATGTCAGTAACTGCATGAAACCCCTTCCAGAAGATATACTCAGTGATCTGCCTGTGCTCTCAGATGCTGGCCTGTCGCTCAGGCAGGTCTTCAGGTTTCCCCAACTGGACAGTATTAACATAACAGACATCTGATCTCTACCTATTGCCCCGGCTTCTCCCCTGGAAAGGAGTCTGAGTAATGTGGTGTTTTATTTTAAAACTGTAACACACACTCATGTGTTCAGGCATGGGTAGGTGCTCGTTACTGCTTCTTCACATTAAAATGAGGAAGAAAGGTAAGGAATTGTGCCTTCCACTCTGGGCAGAAGATTCATGATGACTCAGAGAATATGTCTGGCAGATTTCCCCTTGAGAAAATTTTCCTTTTGGAATTAAACTTAGTGCCAAGGTATTGTTGTCTCAAGACACAATAAGACTGCTGGGCAAAGCAGGAATCTAGTTTTAGAACCACCCAAGAAATGGGATAAAGTCTGCCCCACTTTCCAGCTAGGGGACTGAATATGGAAAACAACTGCTGCCTCCAAGATCAAGGGACAGAAAAACTAGACACAGTAGTTGGCAGAGTAGCTTGACACTAAGCAACTCAGCTCAGTGGTGCCTGAAGACACTTTACTACATTACTGAGGAAGCAGACAGACAGGGCTGTGTGGGACTTCTGAGGAGAGGAAAACTGGAGCCTTTTTGCAGTCACTAAGGAGAAGACAGAGCTGGAGTTGTGGAGTCCTGTCGGGGTGGCATAGGTATGAATATCACAGGGGAAGAGGAGCACAGGGTGTTAGCAATAAGGTATGAAAGAGGAGTTTTTCAGGTTACTGATGATGAAACAATCCCCATGGCTGAGGACAACTGGACTGACAAGGGCTTGTTACAGCTGAAGTGTTGAGACTACTTCAGGAGAACAATTTGGGGTTTGTTTAATGGCAGGCGTCAAGATGTGTGAGAAGAACAGGTCAGCAGCCCCTGA